CGATGGTGGGCGCGCCGCAGGGCGCGGACGTCGTTGACGACCCAATCGAAACGACGTCGCCTTAGCCGCGCCGTCACCGGCCAGCGCCGGTCGCTCCCGCTCGACCCCGCGCAAGGCTCGCATCAGAGAAAGAGACGCGTGCGCCGCCCGGGAAGGCGCGTCAGTAACGCGGCACGAACGCTCTCACACGCGAAGGGGGCTATCGAGAGGCGCGCAGGGCGCGGGGCGACCTCTCTCAACGCGCCCCTCGGCGCGCCAGAATAAGCTCGCCGACCAGATCGCCGTTGCGACCCCGTGGGCGTCACCCACGGTCGTTGAGGAAGTCGCCAAGTTTCTGGTTTCTTGCGATGTGTTCGCGATCTCATCTGTGCGGGCGGTTGGCGCACCGGAAAACTGGAGCGGCTACGTGAATCTGTCGCCCGACGCGCAGCGCGCGATCGCGCTCTTCGCGCGAGCAAAACCGCCGCCGGGCCCGCCACCTGCGGCGGCGTTCGTGAGTGACGAGGTGCCTGCGGCGCCCGTGTGCGCTCAGCCGTGTGTCTCCTCCGCCGCTGGCTCCTCCTCTTCCTCCTCGTCCTCCTCCTCCTCCTCGTCCTCCTCCTCTTCCTCCTCGTCCTCCTCCTCCTCCTCGTCCTCCTCGCCCCCCCCGCGGGCGGGTGGTAGGAGTCCAGCCGCGCAGGCACCCGCACGCCCGCAACAGGAGGGCGTTCTCTCGCAGCGGCTGCAATTAGCGCGGGCGACGGCCGCGCTGAAAGCGTCGCCCCTGGGCTCGAGAAGAGGAGGCCCGCGCGCCGCAATTCGACGCCTGGCCGTTGCGCCGAGCGACCCCGAATTCAGGAAGCGCGCCTTTTTCGGGGCCCGGTGCGCCGCCGTCCTCAACGGTGCCCCGCGCTCCATCGGCACGTGGACAGCCGGCCTGAGGTGCTGGTTCCGTTTCGCCAAATCGCAGCTCGGAAAAGGGGACAGCCCCCTCCCGCCAACTGCGGACGAGCTATGTCTTTGGGCTTTGTGTTTCTCGAACCCCGGCACTTTTGCCAATTACAAAGCCCAGGTCGACAAGGCCTGCACGCTGCTGGGCCTCGACCGCTCAGCGTTCAGCAGCCCCGCCGTTTCGCGCGCAAAGGCCGCGATCAAGCACCGTGCGCCCCAGCCTGACCCGCGACCTCCCCCTGTCACGCGGAAGGCGTTAGTCGCGATGTTGCCGCACGTGCCTGACCCTCAGGTGCGAGCGCTGTTCGTAGTCGCCTTCGCACTGGCCTTGAGGCTTCCCTCGGAGGCGCTGTTGATCAGCATAGGCGACCCAGCACGGGCGGCCAACTTCCGGTTCACGCAGGAGGAACTGGACCGCCCAGTGCCGACCATCGTGCTTTTCAACACGAGCGAGGCGGTCGTACTCCACCTCTCGAGGCGAAAGCATAAGCCCAGGCCTAGCGAAGTCAGTCGCTTCTGCCCCGGCGTTGGGTTAGGTTGGGCTAGGGCATAGGGGGCTGACGGCGGAGCGGGAGGAACCGCGCGCGCTCGGCGCTTCCACAGAGAGAGCGCGCGCAGGCCGCGGCCCCCCCCCCCCGCGGAACGTGCGCTTTGCGAACGCGGCGAAAGCGCGTGTTATTCTGCTTTCTGCTTGTTTCGGCGGCAGGCGGCCATGGGCCTGCCTCGTGCCGCTCCAGGACGACACCCGCCGGGCGAGGCCGCCGGCGCAGTTGGCGAGGCCGGACCGGCGGACGCGATGCAGCAGCGCGTGGCCCGGGCAGGCTGGGGCACCGCGCGCCAACACCCGCTGGGCCCGCGCCCGGCACCCGGGGCCCACCCCCTCTACAAACGCGGGCGGCCAACCGGCCCGCCGGCTGGGAGCCCCGCCCGGCCCGCCCCCGCCCAGGGTCCGCCTCCCGTGCACGCTGCGCCGCCGCCAACCCAGGGCGCCCTCCCGGCCGCCGCCCACGCTGCACCCCCGCCTGGCTTGGTCCCCCACCAGCCAGCCCGCCCCGACACTGGGACCGCCCGGCGCAAACGCCGCCCCGCCTCCTCGGCCGCTCCCAGAAGGCGCCCTCGGCCGGCGCCCAACCAGGGGCGGGGCCCGGGACATCCGCGGCGAGTGGGCTCCTGTCTGAGGCCGCTCGTCCTCCGCTTCACCGACAAACGCAAGCACCTGCTGCTGCGAGTCCTGCCGCGCTGGGACCGGGTCCTGCGCACCGTCGGAGGGAGCACCTGGAAGCTCTCTGAGCGCCTCGGCCCCGACCTCGGGCCGCGCCACCAGGAGCGCGTCTTGCGGCGCTGGTCGGCCCGCACGCTCCTCATCCACGTGGCGAACCTCGAAAAGTTCCTCGACTGGGCCTCAGAGGAGCGCCCCGGGGTCGACCACGGCAGCTTCCAGGACCACGAGGCAACGGTCGAGCTCCTCGTAAGGTATGTCATGGACTTGCTGGTCGGGGGGGCCGCCCCCACCATGCCCGCAGCACGGCTGCAGTCATTGCGATTCCTCAATCGCGCCGCCGGGCTAGCGCCGCCGCTCCCGGCTGGCGAAGTCTGCGTCCAGCACCTCGCGCTGGCCCACGCACGCGAGGCGCCAGCGTCCGCCAGGCTGCCCGCCATCTACACCGCAGACCAAGTCCGCAGGCTCGAGCGGGCAGCCACGACCTTGCGGAACCCGCTCTACAGGGTGGTTGTCCGCACAGAACTTCGGAAACTGTTCGCCGCACTGCGGAACGTCGATGCGGTGTGGGACAAGTTCGGGGAATGGACACAGGAAGGCACCACGGACGCGGGCTGCCTCTACGGCACGGCATACAAGACCAAAGCCACGGAAGCCACGGCGACGCGCCTGCGAGGAGGCATGCCGTGGATCGCCCCCCTGCGAGGCATCTCCCAGCCGCCCTCAGGCTGGGCCCACGGCTATGCATCAGACCTCAGAGCACTTGGCCTTGCAGAGGACGCGGAGTTCGCGGTCCCCTCACCGCAACGCCTCTCCGCGGCAGCGACGCCCGGCGCGGCCGAACCCGACGAGTGGGTAGCAGCCATGCGACGCGCCCTCAGAGCGGCAGGCCTCTCACCACGAGAGGCCAAGGGCATCGGACTGCACTCTGCGAAGCGTACCATCCTCACGTGGGCTGGCAGCAGTGGCATCTTCACCGACCGCGAACTCGAGGTGCTGGGGCATCACCGCTCCGCTGGGGTCGGCAGAGTCGTGTGCGCTTACAACGTCACGGCGTTGGCGGCGCCAGTCTCCAAGCTGCGGACATTGCTCGAACACATCGTGCGAGGCAACTTCAACCCAGACGCGCCAGCCGGAATGCAGTGGCGTGATGGCGCCCTACCTGGCAGCCAGCCCGCGGCACCAGCGCCCGCTGCCGCGCCGTCGCACGCCGAACCCTTGTTACCGTTTGTTTTTTGTTTTTTTTTTTCTTTTTGTTTTTTTTGTTTTTTTTTTTTTTTTTTTTTTTTTTTTTTTTCTTTTTTTGTTTTTTTTTTTTTTTTTCTTTTGCCACCAGCCAACGCACCCGTGGCCGCGTCAGCCGACGGGCAGGCCGGCACCGGCACCGCGCCGGCGCCGCAGCCCACACCCGCCCGCAGCCAGGCGGCCGCACAGGTTCCCGCTAGCGCAGCAGCCCCCGCGCAGGTGCACGCCCTCCCAGACCACGGCCCGCCAGCCAACGAAGCTGCCCACAGCACCCAGCAACCAGAGGCGGCTGGCGCCTTGGCGATGGGCGCCGCCGCGCCACCGCCCGCAGACGCCACTGCGGCGCCAGGCGCGGCCGCGAACAACCTAGGCGGGTGGCAGCATCCCGTGAGCAAGCTCGGGTACCTCGTAGCCGATTCCACCGGGCTGTGCAAGTCCGTTGCGTACTACCACGCAGCCATCCCCGCAGTGCCGCCCTGCCCGCCCGCAGAGCGGCAGCGCTCGCGCCGGCGCATGGAACGCCTCATCGTCGAGACGCCGAACGGGCCCGTAACGAACCTGTGCGATTTCGCGGTGAACCAGGCGAAGTGGTCCCTGCAGCCGCCGGGCCCCGCGTACGTCATCTGCAAGGTCTGCAAGTCCCGCTTGCTTAGCCGAAGGTGAGGGCCCGGGCGAGGGCTAGTGGGCCGACCGTACAAGCGTGGGAGCTGGTCGGCGATGAATTGCAAAAGCTCAGGTCCCGCCGGTTGCCCACCTTCCCCCTCCCCCCCCCCCCCGGTTGCAGGTGAGAGGGCGCGGGCCAGAGCCGGCAGCAACTGCAACGGCGTGGCGAGTCCAGTGAGACCGCCGGCCCCGCTTCCCCTGTATGCGCGCCGGGTGGAAGGGGGCCCTCCTCACCGACGCCCTGGCCGTCTCTGGGTGGCGCCCGCGCGCGCTGTCGGGGTGGGCTGCCGGGCAGCTCCCCTCGGGCGTGCGCGGGCGCTGACGCCAAGTGGCCGGGGGTTGCGGGCGAAAATCCCCCCTCCTCCTGGCAGCGACTCCGGGAAGGAGATTTAATGGAAAGACATACAAAGCAAGCGGGAATGGCTGGGGGGAACAGATTCGGAATGCCGCCGTCGCGCTCGGCCCCACCGCGGGGCGCGCGCCCGCGCGCGCCAGCGGGCGGTCCGCTGGGCGGTCCGCCGTCTGGCGGCGTGCGCAGGCGCAACCCCGGGCGGGGCCGATCGCTGCGCTGGCGCCGCCCCCCCCCCCCCCCCGCGTCGTGGGTTCGGGAAGGAGCTTCGCAGGGGCGGGCAGGCAATGTCCCGCCGTGTGCAGCCGGGGCTTCTGCCTGGGCGGTGTGCCCTCTCCCCCCCTGTTTCCCCTCCCCCTGGGGGTGGCTTGCGCGGGGGGGGCGTTGCCTGCCCGAGCCAACCTGCGATGCGCGGCCTCGGCCACCCAGTCACTGCGCCGCCGTTCTGCCGGTCCTGCGGCCCTGGTTGGGCCCTGCCCGTTCGGGGCTTGTCGGCCCACGGCGGCCCCCTGGTCCTGGGCTCCGGGGGTTGGTCGGCGGCGCGGTGCCTGTGTGCTTTCTTGCGATCCCGCCCGCAGCCGCGCCTCCCTGGAGCTGCTTGCGCCCTCGCCCCCCGCCCCGCCGCCGCCGCCGGGCAGCGTCATGGCCGCGTTCGGCGACTGGGTCGCGGCACTGCCTCTGCAGGTCCGCGAACACCTCACCGCGCAGGGGCTGGACGACGCCGCGCTGGTCGTGGACAGCGTCTCGCCGCAGTTCCTCAAGGGCGAGAACGGCGCCACCGTCACCAAGACCGTGGACGTCGCGTTCCTGGAGGCCATCGCAGCCGCCTGCGACAGCGTCAAGCCCGGCACCGGGGCTTATGCCAAGGTCCGCCAATTCTACGAGAAGTGCTACAAGCACTGCGAGAAAGACGCCACCGCGGGCAGCGCTCCCGAGGCCACGCCGGTCGAAGCGCGCGACCCGACCGCGGAGGAGTACTACGAGCTCAGCCCGGAATACCGCAAGCAGCGACTCCAGGCGCTAAACACGGCGCGGCGCTGCGAAGTGGACTCTGGCCGCATCCCGTCCATGCGGATGTGGGGCCGGTGGGAACGCCTCCGCCGAGTCAACCCGGAGTTCGAAGCTGTCGCGGCCACTAAGGTCCAGTCCGACGCAGCAGCCCGCGCCCGGCCCGCCGCGGCCGAGCTCAAACCCGGCGTCGGCGGAGTCCTCGCCTGGCGCATGCCCGCAATCTCCGAGGCGCCGGCCGGCGGCCTCGTCGAGCTCGAGGAGGCGTGCTACCTCATTGAGAACCTGCTCTTCCTTTGCGGCTGGGTCAAAGACATCGACTGCCTGGTGACCTTCCACGAGCGGTTCTGGAGCCGCGTCCGGCGCTCCAGGCAGCCCATGCCCGGCTACCGCCCCATGACGCTCACGGAGGTGCAGCACGCGCTGTGCCTCTTCCAGAGCCAGTGGGCAAAAGCAAGCCGGAACGCCGACCAGCTGGACGCCACCGTCCGCAGTTCCCTGCCAGCGGACGCCGACGAGCTGGACGGCCGGCTCGCGCTCGCGCCGCGCCAAGCCGGCCACTCCGGCCCCGGCCCAGCCATCGCGACAGGCGCTCCCCTCGACGGCAGTGGCGAAAGCCTCCCGAAGCGCCCCCGCCTCACCCGCGGCGAGCGCCGCGAGCGGGCCGCCGCCGCAGCCGGCTACCCAAGCGCCCCGGCCCAGCCCCCCAAGGGCAAAGGCAAGGGCAAGAGCAAGGGCAAGGCCACGCCACCCGCAGAGCCCGCCCGGCGCGCCCCCAAGGGCGACCTGTGCTGGCACTTCAGCAACGGGAAGACTTGCAAGCATGGCGACGCGTGCTGGTTCCGCCACGCTTGACTAGCCCCCGCAAGCGCGGAAGCGGACTTCCAGGCCGCCGACGCGCAGAGCGGTCCCCTGTCTAGCCTGGACTGGGCGCCCACGCGGGCTTCGGGCGCCCCTAATACCACGCCACCGCTTACCCTGGACCGGGCGCCCACGCGGGCTTCGGGCGCCCCTGACACCACGCCACCGCTTAGCCTGACCTTGGCGCCCACGCGGGCTTCGGGCGCCCCTAATACCTCGCCACCGCGGCGCCGGCACAGACGCCCGCCCCGCCTCTCGCATTCCCCGCGCTCACCGCCGGACCGCAGCCGGCAGCGCAGCCAGCTCAGCCCACGCGGTGAGTTCTCAGGCGGCGCGCGTGCCCACGACGGCCGCGCCAGCCGCACCAGCAATCCCAGCCCTCGCCAGCACGGCCCTCGCAGGCAGCCGCCCGGGGGAAGGTCGCGCACCCCGCCCCTGGTACCTCCGCCAGGCCGCGGCGACGACGCGCACCCCGCGACCGCGCCTGGCACGCGTGGCCCTCAGCGCGTGCCCGCCGCCGCACCGCCACCCCACGCCGCCCGGGCTCCACCACAAGCATGCCCCGCCGGGTGCGGAATCACCGTGGTCGAACACGCCGCCAGGCTCCGCGATCCGGTGACCGAGCAGGAGTTCGAGGGCGTCGACCATGCCCAGCAGGCACCCTTTGCCCCGCCGCCCCGCATCCCGCGTCGCCCGGGGCCTGTGCACCCAGACACCATCCCCTGGTACGGGGACGCCGCAGCGGCACCGGCCCGGCACCTCGGCGCGACCCGCCAGTGCGGCAAAGCAGCCACGCAAGTGCAGCGCACCATCACGCCGGTCCAGCACATCGACCAGGCGTGGGACCATGCGAACGGCCAACCATCGGCCGCGTGGGCGGAACCGCCGACCGCACCCCTGGCGGCCCCCATCCGCAGCGCACTGCTCTGGGCGCGCGATTGCCCGGACTACGAGCAGTGGGTCATCGGGCAGGTACATTACTGGAAACGCGTCCAGGCCTCGCTTGCGGACGCCACGCGTGCCTGGCGAGCGGGCCTATCCTCCCACGTCCGCGACGTGCTACCGCCAGAATACAACGGGCCGCTACACCGGGAGCTACTTCTGGCATCGGGGCACGAGGACACCGATGTCATTGCCGACATAATGTCGGGATTTCGGATGCGAGGCGTCCTGCCCGACACGCAGCTGTTCGAGAACGTGGAGAGCACCGACCTGCCAGACGCCGCTGCGCTGGACCGCGCGCTCGAGCATGCGCTCGATTCCAGAGACTCCATGCTACTGGAGATGCTCCAGAATTCCAAGCGCGAACCGGACATGGCTGAAGTGCTCCGGGTCACACAGGAGGAATGCGCAGCTGGCAAGCTGGACGGCCCGTGGGAGGTGTGGCTCGACGCCGCCGGGCGCGTCAACTCCACAGTGCCCTTCGCCCGCTGGCTACCGACGCGCCGCTTCCCCCGCGTCCAGAGCCGCACCGCCACCTCCTACAAAGTTCGCCCCATCGACGATGCGACAGCGAGCGGCCTCAACCTGGCTGTCGCCACCCAGGAGCGCATGCGCATGGCCGGCCTGGTCTCGCTCCTCGACGCCGCGTCCTTCATCGCCGAGACCTTCAGCGACTGGGGCGCCGACGGCGTGCCGCTCATCGCAAAGGGTGACCACGCCCAAGCTTACCGGCAATGGCCGGTGCACCCCGACGACGTGCCCCTGCTGGTCTGCCTCGTCTGGGACGACAGCGTCGGGCACGCGGGCGGCTACCGGGCCTACGCGCACAAAGCCCTCCCTTTCGGCGCCTTTGGGGCAGTGTGGGGGTACACGCGAGTCGCCGCCAGCGTGAACCACCCCCTCCGACGAATTTTCAGCGTGCCGCAGAACGCGTACGTGGATGACTTCCACCGCGCCTCGCCCGCCAGGTGGGCCGCCCTCCACGAATGGGTATTCCATGAGCTGCACACCATGCTCGGGATCCCGCTTAAGGAGGGCAAGAACCAAGGCCCCGCAGCCGTGCTGGACCTGCTAGGCCTGGACGTCATCTCCACTCAACGCTGGGCAGGCCTGCGCCTCACCGCCAAGCGCCGCGCCGCGCTGTCCGATGACGTGGACGCCGCCCTGCGGGCACAGCGCCTCAGCAAACGCGTCGCTGCCAGGCTGGGCGGCCAGCTTGGCTTCGCCACCTCGGCGATGTTCGGCCGCATTGGCCGCGCCTACACCTCACCCGTGTCAGCGCACGCCGGAGGCTGGTCTCGCCGCCTCACTCACGCCCTGTCCTGGTGGAAAGCGCTTCTACAGTGCCCGCTGTACCACAAGCGCGTCCACGGCACGGACCGCCCCGTCGTCATCGGGTGGGTCGATGGGTCCTGGGACATGGAAGCCGGGGCGGGCGCCATCGGGGGCATGCTGCTGTCCACCACGCACGGCAGCCACAGTTTCTCCGCGCACATCCCGCCGCACCTGTGCGCGGAGCTGCTCTAGGTCGGCAAGAAGCAGCGGAACACCCAATCCGAGCTGCTCGCCGTGCTCGTCCTGCTGCTGACGTGCCCTGAGGTAGTGCGCGGCGCCCGATTGGTCTTGTTCGAAGACAACACTCCCGCCCTGGAGAACATCCGCCGCGGCGCAGCAGGCGACGACGACAGCGTTGCCATCGTCGGCGCCATCTGGCTCCTACTCGGCGTCCTCGGCACAGAACTCTGGATCGAGTGGGTCGCGTCGGAAAGCAATCCCGCGGACTGTTTCTCCAGACCCGACGAGCCCGACAAGCAGGCAGAGGCCGCGGCTCTCGCGCAGCGCTACCACCTCCGGGCGGCCGAGCCCCGGTTCCCAGCGACCTTCCACATGGACGCCGGAGCCTGGGCAGCGGCAGTCTCCGCCGCACAGGAGGATTGGGCGCACAACGACCGCAGCCACCGCGCACGCACCGCGCTTCGCCTCATGGCAGTAGACGCGGGCACCCTCGCCGCACTGCTCGCCGCCATCGCCTTCGACGCGGACGACAAGCAGATTACCCTGGGCTGGATCCGCACCAGGCGGGCCGGCGCTGTGGCCGCGGCCACGCACTTCCACGCAGACCTGCTGCGGCTGCTCTGCCTCGCCGCTCGGCCGCACGTCAGCGGCCAAGGCGCCACGACCGTCATCCTGCGCAAGGCGGCGTGGCCCCGCGCGCCGACCGGGGCCGTGAGATGCACAGCCACAGCCGTCATCGAGGGCGCCGGTAGCACCCGCGCACCCGCCGCGCGGTGGTGGCCGTGCGCGCCCGCGCCAGACACTGCGGTCTTCGCGGAGAACGGCGTCGCCATCGGGTTCTACGTGGTGGGCATCGCTGGCGCCAAGGAGCGACGCCAAGCCGCCCCGCTACGCAAGCTGGGACTGGAAGCTGCGGGCGCCGGCGCCCGCCCCCGCCGGCGCGCCGAGCCGCCGTGAGTGGCCGGCCGGCGGCGCCCCCCGGCCCCCCCCCGCTGCGCCGCGGAGGCTGCGCGCTGCCGAGCGGCGGGAGGCCAAAACGCGCACGCGCGAGAAGGATCGGGGGGCAGTCGAAGTAGAGTGACCCCCCCCTAAAGAAGGGTCGGCGCAGAACCGCCCCTCAAGAACGCCGCCACGGCGCACTCCGCCCCCGTTTTCCGCGGCGGGGGTCCCGGGGCCGTCCTGGGCACGGTGGAATGCAGGGCTCTCAGGGTGACGAGGGGCCGAGGCGCGCCAAGGGGAAGGAATAGTTCACCAGCAAGGAAGAAAATCGTCCGTTGGAGGGCCAATGCGCCCCGCGGCTTCCCCCGGCGTCGGCCCCGGCCTCCTGGCCCGCCCCCGCTCCATGGCCCCTTCGGTCTCGGTCCGCGGCGCCCGAAACCCAAACGCAAGGATTGGGAGGCGGGGGCCGGCTCCGGGGACGCAGCCCCTCGGTCGAGGTATCATAATGAAGCGCTCGCCCTAAGACACCAGGCGTCCTCCCCCCTCTTACCGCGGGCCGAGCCGCGCCAGCCCGGACCTGCCACAGGTGGCGAGGTGCGGCACGGCCGGGTTGGCGCAGCCCGGTGGCAGCGGAGGCGGTCGCTTCTCCCCCCCGGCCTCGGGCCCCGTGGGCTCCCTTATTTGTTCTTTCTTTTTTATTTTTTATCTCCTTTTTTCTCTTATTCTTCGGTTTTTTTTTATAACTTCGGTCTTTTTTTTTTTTTATTTTTTTTACTTTTTTTCTTTCAAATTTTTTTTTTCTTCGTTTATTTTTTTTCTTTTTTTTATTAATCTTTCGCTAGGTTTGCTTCTTTTTTTCTTTTTTTCTTTTTTTCGCAGTTTTTTTTTTACTTTTTTTCTAGTTTGTTCTTTTTTTTTTTTTTTTCTATTTCTTTTTGTTTTTTTTTTTATGTTCGTTTTTTGTTTTATTTCTTTTGTTTTTTTTTTTTCCTCGTTGCTCCGGCTGGAGCCCTCGGCGGGCGGGCAGCTCTCTTTCCTTCGATATGAATATGGGGGGAAGCGCCTGGTGTATCGCGATGAACGCCCCGACGTGAGGCCAATGCGCCCGTGGCTTCCTCCGGCCCCTCCCCCCGCCCCACCGCGGCCCGCGCGGAGCCGAGTAGTGGCTGCATGCAGCGTGCCCAAGAACCAGATAAGTCGGGGGAGCAAGGGGGGGGTGCGCGACCAGGAGACGCAGCCCGTCGGCGGCCATCAGCAAAAAGGGCGAGCGCTAAGTGGGAGCCAAGCGGTGGCGTTCCCCCGCGAAGTCTCTGCTCATGAGGTTTCATTCCAGGTGGGCGGCGAGGTCATGAAATCTCATCGGCGGAGCCCGGGGGCCTTCAGCCACGCCGGACCGGACGAGCGGCCGGTGTGGGGGAACGCGCCTCTTGGAACCCCGTAGAAATGCCGGCGGCGGGCCAATGCGCCCCGTTTGGTTTCCCCCTCGCCCGCTCCCAGCCCGCCCAGAGCCCGCGGGCCAGAGATAAGAGGCTGCCGGAAGCAAGGCGCAGGGGACGCACCCCCGGCTTAACAGCAAAAGGGAACGAGGGTGGCAAAGGAGGTCGTGGACCGGAACACGCCAAGTGGGGAAGGGTCCGGCCACACTACCTGAGGCGGGGGGGCCAGGCCCCTCTCCCCCCTCGGCGCGATCCTGGCTCGGCTCATCCCTTGCGGCACTCCCCCAAGCTTTGCCGCGTAAAGACAGCGCATAGAGAAGCGGGGGGGGCCCGCTCGCCGTCAGTCGCTTCTGCCCCGGCGTTGGGTTAGGTTGGGCTAGGGCATAGGGGGCTGACGGCGGAGCGGGAGGAACCGCGCGCGCTCGGCGCTTCCACAGAGAGAGCGCGCGCAGGCCGCGGCCCCCCCCCCCCGCGGAACGTGCGCCTTGCGAACGCGGCGAAAGCGCGTGTTATTCTGCCCACCCACCCGCACCTCTCCTCTCGGTGAGCATCACAGGATTTGCTACCGCGCAGGAGTAAAAGCGGGGTCGAATCGCGCTGTGTGCGGCGCAAGGAGGGCGACCCACGCGTCGCGCAGGCCAGCGCCTGCTTTCGCAGGGTCGCGCAGGGGCGGGGGGGGCCACGGCCCCCTTTCCTCCCCCCTCGGCCGCGATCCTGGCTGGCTCATCCCTTTGCGGCACTCCCCAAGCTTTTGCCGGCGTGTTTTACAGGACAGCGCATAGAGAAGAGGGGGGGGCCCGCTCGCCGTCAGGCGCTCGTGCTGGTGCAGCATCTGCACCGCGACCTGCCCAGTGCACGCCCCGCGCGCCCTACTGGGCGACCTCGCGCCGGGTGCGTCTCCTTTTGCCCACCTGGCAAAGCCGACCAGAGCCGGGCGCGTGCTCCCCGTGCCAGCACTTACCCGCAACCTGCGCAGGTCGGCGCAAGCGGCGGGCCTCCCCAATGCCGCCCGCATCACCTCGAAGTGCCTGCGGCGCGGCCACACGGAGACTCTCCGCCAAAGCGGGGGGAGCCTCGCCACCATCTTGAGAGCCGGCAACTGGAGGTCCGGCGCATTTAAGGCCTACCTGACCAGCCTGCCCTGGAAGACGCGGCGACGGGCGAGGGCATGGCCCTCTCCGCCAGCGCGGGCCCTGAGGCCGCGGGCCATGACCCCGCAGGCGCTGCATCTCAGCCGTAATGCGCGCTCGTCGCGCCCTTCATCCCGCACGCGGTAAGAAACGTCGCGACGTTGGCAGTGGGGGCGCGCGCACACGACGGCTGACGCCGGCCTGCTGTTGCATTGGGTTGTAACAGCCAGGCGTCGCCGTCGAGGCGCGCGCCGCCACCGCCTTGTGCTCGGCGGGGGCGGCGCCGCCCGACGCGCCGCCGCACCCATCGCAGGATGGTTGCTGCGACCGCGTGGCGGACGCCGCAGAGCGCCGCGCCCGCAGCGCTGTGGTGAGCGAACAGCCGAGGCACGAATGCTGTCTCGCGGGCACAGCAGCGAGGATGCGATGCGCGTGCGTCCGCGCGCCCCGCAGCGAGCGCGTGAGGTTGCGAGGGGCGCTTCGCCGCGAGGCGACGACACGCGAAACGCGAGAAAGATGGAGCCGCGGTTTTGTCGGATGCGCCGCGGCTAGGTCGCCGCGGAGGGAGCGCACGCGAGCGTTCACCGAGGCACCGGCCAGCCTTGCCGCGCACAGGAACAGTCATGCGTGGCGGCTAGGCCGCCGCGGAGGGAGCGCGCGCGACCCGTCCGCGGCACCGACCAGCCTTGCCGCTCGCAGGTTCCATAATTGTTTGCGGCAGGCGGGGCGCCCATCTTCCTGTGGGCGCGTTTCGCCCCACCCACATCCGCCCGGGTTGTAGCCGCCAGGCGTCGCCGTCGAGGCGCGCGCCGCCACCGCCTTGTGCTCGGCGGGGGCGGCGCCGCCCGACGCGCCGCCGCACCCATCGCAGGATGGTTGCTGCGACCGCGTGGCGGACGCCGCAGAGCGCCGCGCCCGCAGCGCTGTGGGAGTGCGTGCACGTGCTGGTCGTCGTGTTCGTCGGCGAGCGTGCACGGCATTTTGTATGTGGCCTCATCACGCGGCCTCCTGCTCGGTTGGCAACAGCGGAGGCACCTCTGGGCTGTGGATGAGTCCAGGGCCCGCGCACAGATGCGGGCTCCTACGTGTCCGACAGCTCCCTGGGCAAGAAGTTTGGCACCGACGAGTAGAAGACCACACACGACTCCACCCGTGGCAATAGCCCCGAGCTTGCCGCTGGCCCATTTCAGGACACCCCCGAGGCCGACCCCGACTGCGGTGGCTCCGCCCGAGACGCTATCTCTGAGTTTGACGCTGGTCCATTTGAGAGTGGCCCACAATGCGGACGTGACGTTGTATGTCGGTGTGCGTCGGGATGTGGTGGACACCGATGGGCCTGGTGCCGTCGCTTTGCGTCGTCGTCGTTGTCGGTAGCTGGGGTCTCGGCTCGGTGTCGGCAAGTACCCATCGATCTGGTCCTTGTACGGCATTGCTATCGCGATGGCGTACGTGGCCGCAAAGAGGCAGATGAGGCAGCCACAATGTCGTGATGCCGCTGCGCTGTGCTGGGGCTCGTGGAAACCGCTGGCATCTGGGTACTCATCATCGATGGGGGCGTTGTCGATGTCGGCCTGCCAGTGGCCAATGGCACTGGGGTTGGAGTCAGTCACGTTGTCGCGGTGAACAGAGGTGTGGGGCGTGGCGCTGCCACCTGCGGTCTGGGGTTGTCCAGGGCTAGCCAGTGCTGCAGCGGGGCTGAAGCCGCCACTGCACGGACTGGCATAAGCTGGCGATGCGGTGGTATGGCTTGTCGCGTCGGCGGCAGTGACGCCTTCAGCGTCGTTGAGCTGTGCGCAGGGGTCGGCCTGAGCTGAGTTGTGGGGCGGACTGTTGTGCGACGAGGTGTGCCCTAAGTGGGGTTCACTGTCGCGGTCACGCTGGGCCGTGTCGCCTGGTGGTGTCGTGCCGTCACGATCCTGAGTATCGATGCCGTCCTGGCTATCGTCCGACGCGTGGAACGAGTCCATGGATATGTTGCCAATATCGCTGGCCGCGATGTGCTGGAGCAGCCATGATACGGGATCATCTGCGGCCTGATCACCCGTGGCGTGCTGGGCGAGGCCAGCTGGCGGTGGTGGGTTTGGCGGTTCCATCGGTGCCGCGGCGAGCTCCGCCTCGACAAGCGGCAGCATGTCTGGCGGTAGGTGCAGGATCACATCGGCGAGGTACGCCATGGCGTCTTGGTCGGGTGGAGGGAGGCCTCTTGGCAGCAAAGCATGGGCCCGTGAGAGGTATGGCGGCAAAGGTGCCGTGAAAGCCTCAGGACCGACGAGCGTGGCACGAGCGCCCTGGTATTCCAAAAGGAGGCCAAAGTAGCGGGTGGCGTACTCGCGGCTGCTCTGGATACGAGTGAGGTTGCGGTTGGTGCGCTGCCTGTCGGGGCCCGCTCTGTGCCAGATGTCCTCGCACATGTCGAC